TTTTGAGTAAAATAAGAAATGAAATTGAAAAATTATATCATTGTTAAATTTGAGTACTCCTCTTTATTACAAACGACATTTGTATTGGAAGCAAACTATACACAATCATGAGTATCAAAGTTATGGTCACACAATCGTTTTTTAAATTTATTTTCTTGATAACATGAAAAATAGAAAATAAAGAGTCAATTGCTACATAAAAAAACAGGAAATCACCCAATAAGTATAAAAATATATTGCGATTAGATGTCAAATTGTTGGGAAAGAATAAAGATAATTTTTCGAAACACTTCAAATTATAATTATTAATAAAATTAACCATTAATTATAATAGAAACGATAAATACAGCTGGTTTCAGAACTCAATAATCATGTCCAAACCACAGCGAAACCCCGCTTCAAAAAAATTGGATTTGAGCGTGTTGCGCCACAGTACCAAATCAGGTCGTGGCTGTGATTTATTAGATTTCTGTGAAACCCATGCAACAGAAATCATGGAATGTCTAACACTCCAACAACAAATGAAATTGTTGAGAAGTGAAAAATGGCTTGAAAAGGGTTCAATTGAAACGAAAGCCAAAGTGTTGGGTGTCTCACCCTCGACGGCCCACCTCAACAACTTGTATGACGATGTCGAAGGGAAGTCTGGAAGAAAACGAGAAATTAATCAATCGAGGATGCCGTTGTTGTTAGAAACAATTCGAGAAAGACAAAACACCACCAAACCAATTACCACTAAAGAGATGGGAAATGTTGTAGAAGGAGTTGTTGGGAAGAAAGTATCAAAAAGAACCATCGCAAACAGTTTGAGAAGGGAGGGTTTAATTAAGAAGATTGCAAAACCAATGGATAAAGAGAGAGCTGAGCTGAGTAAAGATGAGTTAAGAAGCTATGAAACTAGAGCTGTTGATTTGTTGAACAATGACAAACAATATGCCGGCGAAAGAGTTGTCCACTTGAATGGAGTTAAACCCTCCCTCCTTATCAACATGGACGAAAGTGGTTATTGTCCATTTGTGGACTCAAAAAGGAGCAACTTTTATGTTGACGACAACTATGACTACACCAACTCTTACTCTGTTGATCGCTCTCAAAAACGCATAACACTGATTGCAGGAATATTTGCCAACAACACCACGCTGAAACCAATGATCATACTATCAAACTTGACAATGAAAAATGAAATCGACAGATACATAGACAGAGATGATGTTGAAATTGCATATCAACGCAAATCCTTCATTACGGAAGACATATACACGTTGTGGCTTGAAAGATGTCTTAAACCAGAACTGGAATTAAGAAGAAAAAATTGCCCACAAGAATGGGCGGTTTTAATACAAGACAAGTGTGTTAGCCACATTAAAGACGGTGCTAGAAAGTGGCTGTTCGAAAATAAAGTGGCTTTATTATTATTGTGCCCACACAGTAGCCACTTGTCTCAGCCACTGGACGTCGTCATATTTGGCGTTCAAAAAGTTTGTTTTTTATTATGAGAGAAATTACTGAAATAATATTATTATTCAAAGCCGTTATAAGTCTTGTTAACATGTTTACTTTTCTTTTATTGTTATTGACATATGAGAGCAATGGGTTCTTCGGTAGTTTCTCGACTTGTTGGTATGAAGTACCCCGTTGGTGTTATGTCTCAAAAGGATGATGTTGAAGATGAAGTCAAGAAAGCTACAAAGCGAAGAAAAATGGAAATTTTAGAACT